GAATGATAAAAGAGATGCGTCATTTTCTGTGGTCTCAACAAAATGTATTTTATTAATCTACCAAGCATTTACAACCAACAGTGCATGCATTGCTATAACTACATATTAATTTCACTTCAATTTATTTTTTATTTACCAGTGTAAGTTGATTTTGGATATTTAATTGTGCATATTATATAATATTGTCCTTCCCCTTTTTTATTTCCCTATTTATTTGGATTACCCTGGTCTTCGTCAAAAGTTAATCTTTAAAAATGGTCTTTTTATTATACTCTTGAATGTAATGTTAGCAAATCTCAAAATAAATCGTACGTTTTTGTAATGTACATTTTTGATGTTGTGGTGATTAAATTCACTTGCAGCATTTAAAATGACTGATTGTAGTCTGGGCTGTTTTAACACAAGTTTGGGTCAAATATACGTCAGCAGATTAGCTTTTAAAGCTAAGTTTATACTATTAAATGTAATTTGAGTTGTGCCAACTTATTCGGGTTTACAGTGCACTTCATAGATTTAAGTTATAGTAACTAATTAGTACTATTAACTTTATTTACCCAATTTATCTTAACAATAAGTTATTGAGTTACTTGGAAACAAATCAAATATTTTTTTTTATGCTTAAAGGGGTCATGAACTGGCTTTTTAAATGTTATTATATTGTTGTCTGAGGTCAACTTATAACGTTCGCTTGGTTTTTGCATTCAAAAACATCAAAATGAACAAGTAATAGGCTATTTTGTACCCTGGTTGTGAGCCTACCTAAAAAACAGTCGGTTTTTATGGGCGTGTCGCACTGAAGACTTGGAAGTAAACACCCACTGCTGCGAGTGGAGAACAGTTTTGCATATTATAATGAGTTTAACTCACCCGTCCGTGCACGTGGGGGAAAACGTCCTATGTTGTCAAATGGCAACCGGATTCGCCCATATATGTTCAACCCAGAGTCCGTGTGTTGCACAATATTCCTGTCAGATCCAATATAGACGGCACAGCACCGTTCTTTACTCTTAATCGGTCTGCAAATCCAGTCTTGTTGACAAAACAATCCTCAGTGAAATGAAGCGAACAGACGACGATTTTTTACCTCATCAGCTGGAACGTCATTAAAAATAAATTATCCATGCAGTCCTATTGGAATCCACAGGAAGTTTATGCAGCGACTGTCTTGCACAACCAGGCACTGCACAATATTCTGTATTGCTCGGTAGATCCAGTTTGTCATCGCGAGGTAAGCATGTACATGTATGATACTTATGTGTGTAATGCGTGAATCGGTGGGCGGGGCTAAACCTGCCGTGGTGAAGCAGGCGTTGATCATCTTCTGTGGGGGTGGTGTTTTATCCTCTTTGTCGTCATAGTTACCCACTTTTAAAAACGAGTTGTTTTTAGAGGCTGTGTCAATAAAAGCTTTTATTGGACTAACAAGGATGTTTTCAGTTCTGAAACTTACAGGATATTCTTATAATATGATGACCTCTTAGATGTCAAAAGCTCAAGGAAAATTTGATTTCTCAGTTCATCACCCCTTTAAATTGTTTGAGTTAATAAACTTAAATGATTTAAGGCAATCGGTTTCCTCAAATGGTTTGAGTTGAACTAACTCATCAGGTTTTACAGTGTGGACAAACCCAAATGTTGGGTTAAAAATGTAATTAAAAAATTTAACCCAATGGCTGGGTTTTCCATTTTTGACCCAAAGTTGTGTTAAAACAGCCCAGCAATTTTTTTTTAATGTATTTAAACAAAAGCATATAATTTGAATATCCATTCATTAGTCGTCAACCATTACATTTACAATAATACAGTATATAATGTTGAATTTACAAAGGAGAATAAAGATGTAACAGAAAAATGTAAGTGATGAAGTTTTATGATGTTGTGGAAATTTTTGATTTTCATTGATTTTCAATGGACATTGCAAAGGAACGTCATGGTTTTATCATTTGCAGATGTGAGAAGGAGGAACTTCTCTGAAATTCATGTTGTTTAATTATACACCTGAAGTGTGTGAGCGAGACAAGAAAACACTAGTTTAGGGGGGCTTAAAGGATCAGCTAGCGATAAATCAAAGCTAGCAGTAGTGGAAAACTGCAGGAAAAAGGACCTTGAAGAGGTCCTTGTGTCTCAGTGTCTCATTCACTCCACAGGTTAACTTTGTTGGCGACTGGGCCTATTCTTTCAAGAATAAATATGTACATATTTTTTTATAAATTTGATTCTGAGTTTTCTCTTGCGTGCGATGATTAACAGAATTTATGCCACAACAATGGACGGATAACAATCCTTTAGTTTCCAACAACTTTCAGAAAGCATAGAAAAACACATTCAGATGTGTAGAAGAGAACAGTTTTTTTTTCTCCCATCCATAGAGCTTTTATATCAAACTAATATAACACCTTTGTTCAACCCAGACAGCGTTGGACTTCAGCTTCTATTGTCTTTGTCTTGTTCTTTCACTTTTCCTTCAATCCATTAAATTTAATCTCTACACAGTCCATAAAAAGGCTCCATTCAACTCTAAATTTGAAAGTCCCCACTGTTTGAAAGCATGATGTGCACTTTACTGTCAGTTACCATAGAAACCAGGTGATTCAAATGGAAACTGCGGATTGGGTTTGAAAGCCAATACTGATTGGATATGTTTTGATTTTGCTGACATTGTGCAGTTAGGTGGGGTCTAATATTCTGTTTCGTCCTGCTCCACAGTGGGACTTTTGGTTTTGGTTGGATGCTTGTTGTTGGTTGATGAGAGCGTCAAAGTAGAGAAAAGTGAAGCTCTAAGTTTGTTTATAAGAGCATTCATCAAGTGCTGAAAGCGAACAATGAGCAAACAAAAAAACAGCTACGAAAATTCTACCACGATCCAAAAGCATTCAAATATTTATCCTCAAAAGATACCAGAGGCAAAACCAAAAGCAGTATAAAAAGTAATAATAATAGTATAAATAGAGCTTTAGATTTGCCCAATTATGACTTATCCAGTTGTAGAAAGACCAAATAAAGAAACCCACAACCTCTTTGTTGTTTAATCTACATTTTAACATGGACATCTGAAGTAATTTTTGTAGCTACTACTCTTTCTTTGTCTGCAAAGGCAAGAATAAAGAAAGTTCTTGATGAGCTCTGATAAGGTTGATAGCCAATCAATAATAATTTCAGTAAGCATTGTTTAAGAGTAGGCCCACCCACAATATGAAGATTACAAATTAATCTCGGTAGGCAGACCTCAACAAAATTACCCGAATCTGATTAATGACAATATTGACAGCATGATGATTATAGCAGTTATGACAAATATCATTTTCAGCAGCTCAATTTAAAACCGTTGTCACTGTGGTCATTAAACACAGACAAATCAGTGGCACACATGCAGCAGTTGGGCAGGGTGAGTCCTAATGTATGTGTGGGGATAGTCTTTGTAATCGTCACACTCTTCAGCTTATCTTGCTGTCCTTGTGGTGGGAATTTTGGGGAAGCCGTGGCATACTGACTCCATGTGCATTGGGATGTGTTGATGGGTTTACATTTAGTGCATTTAATTTATGACCACCCAGGTTAGCATGTGGAAAAGTTTGTGACTAGATCCATTCGAATGACGGCAAGTTCCATAATTCTGCGTATGCGTCATCAACCTACGCTTTTATTATTTTAAGAGGTTAGTGACCCCTAGCGGTGAAAAAAAAATCAAGCGAGGAATCACGGTGAGCGCCTCTACATCTCTAGCCTGACTACGTCAGACTTCCTACTTCCGCTAATTTATTTTCGCTCCTGTAGTCGGTCTACGAAGCAAAGTGAAGTAGCAGAGTCTGGTATTACCAGCTACATCACAGTAATTAGTTGACTAATATCCTCCCATGTCAGTAGGCTGCGAAGTCTGAACTAAACTAATCCACTTGGATAGGACCGTTTTTATTCAAACCTGAATTGAAATGAACTTGATACTTCCTTGTTTTGGTGATCAATTAGAACGTATTACCACTATCTCACGACCAATTCGTACGAATTCGACGCATGATTAAAAAGTGTCTAATTCGTACGACCTCGTACGATTTGTCTAAACCCACGTGATGGTTGGGTTTAGGGGCGGGGTAAGGGGTAGGTCATTCGTACGAATTCATACGAATTGGCCAATTCGTAAAATATGTAGGCCTACGATTTAGCAAAATCGTATTAATTCGTACGAGTGAGGTCGTATGAATTGTTACGAATTAGCCACTTTTTAATCATTCGTCGAATTAGTACGACTTGGTCCTGTGACAAGCAGGCTAAACCTTCATGTTTTTTTTTTTGTTGTTGTTTTTTTTTACTTTGAGGACAGTGAGACCCACCTACGACCTCGACCACACTAAGAGAGGAAAGGTACCAATGGGATATGCACGGCGGTATTTCCGGTGAAGGTCTAAGGATGTTCGATAACTTGCTCGAGTCCAATGCAATACCGAGAATTTATATTGAATTTTATACTCCATGGTTATACTAAAGAAACGTTAACAGACAAAACACACCCTAGTTGTGTTTATGCTTCTTTTAAAAATTATATTAATGAACATAAAGTTACATCTAAACGTATGAGAGTTTCGTTTCAAAGACGGGAGGACAGTAAATTTTGAAGACTCTGCTATAATCCCGTTTTCCTCGGGTTTTCCTCCGTTTTAATCTCCCCAACCGAAACTGAAGAGCATCCTTGCGTCAAGTGGAATTTATGCGTGCATAGCCTATTGGTCCAAAAGGGAATGAGGTCAGGAGATAGAAAGGTCGAACACTTGTTTAAAACTTGAGATTTCGATAAACCATGTTTTATTTTATAGTACCTTCATCTAATTTTTGCTTGATGTTAATCGCAAAAGTCTTCAATCTAGAAGCGGATCTGGCTGGGGAAAAAGTAACTGGACAAAAACGGAGAAAGGGGAGTTATGACTCATTTTAAAAGACCACCACCACACACCACTACTCTCTAGCTGCAATATTGTGTGATCGTATTTAAGAAAGGAGAGAAGTCTGAAAGTTTCCCTGAGGAAGAGAGCTTTCACGCGCGCCGCCGTTAGTGTGAATGACACGCGCTTTCCTGGAGAGCCGTTTGTTTGTGACGCACGGGTGAGACAGTTGAGCTGCGCGAGCCGCGAGGTGCTCAGTCAGTATCGGTTCAGCTCAGCTCAGCTCAGCTTGGGAACACCAGGGAGCGCGAAGTAGCCTACGGTAGTAATGTTGGGCTCGGACTCGGAGGACCACGGAGAGACTCGCAAACGCAACGGTACGGGTAAGCACCCCTTTCATTCATTCGCTACACTTTAATAATGCCTCTCAGTTTAGATTGAAACTGTTGGTGTGGGACCAAACCGAATGGAGTATAAGTTTGGATGCGCGAGTGACAGTCTGACGAACTTAATCATATTTGTGTCAAATGCAGACTGTGATGAACTTGTATCGCAGGAATGTAGAAACAATGTATAAAAAGTACACCAATACTGGTAACTGTGGAAGGAATTTTTGGGGGATTTTTTTGTCGTTCCTTCGACGAGAGCTCTGTGATAAAGAATTGCAATACTCTGCTGTCAAAACAGGCAATATTCCCCTGGCATCCTACAAATGGATGAAACTTCGGGTGAGTGCACAATCTCATTGCTTCAGAGAAATATTACCCCGTCATGATGAATGTGCTTTGACATTTATGATTTATCATATTTTTCGGTTATAATTTAAACGGTTTTAACTTAAACTTGAACTTAAACGGTTAACACATTAATTCCAGTAATTTGGCATATTTATTTTGTTAGTGTGCTGCATATCTGATGAACCTGCTCAAGATGACCCACCTTTGGTTTAAACTCTTAAAAAAGACGCATATCAGGTAGAAAACAAAGCAGGCACTTCTAGTAAATGTTCTGAAAATGGGTGTTGCACAATCTGTCCTGGATGTTCTACCACCATTGTGAGACGGGACTAACCCACAACCTTACCTCAAATCCAAACATGACAAGGATGCATACAGTGCGGGTTGGTCATCATGAGAGTGAGAGTAAGTTAGATTCACTGATGTGGTCTGACTCATTGCTTGCAGTTGCATGTTTTCTTTCTTTACTTGGGATGAATCGTCTAGGAGCAAAAACATTTAGTCGGATGGATTTAAATGCGATCACCTTCTTCTGATTTGCTTATGTCCTCTTTGACATATTGTGTATTTGGTTGATGTGCTCTCAGTCTTTGCTTTTGATTATATTTAGGTGAATTATTTTGGATTATGTTCATTTCTATGGAGATGCTGAGGTCTTAATGCATCCCATTTACATTTCAAATCATTCATTCACTTATTATCTTTAATTCATAATTTGAAATTGCTGAACACCCATTTTCCACATTTCACAGTGGGAGAGTGAAAGCATCGCATAGCAGGTGTGCGGATCAGAAATGCTCGTCTGTCTCTTGAGGCAATATGGGAGATGATGCATAGAATCAGCCAGTTGAGTTTATTTGTTCACTCTGAAGGGTTTGACCATTTTAAATTGGTTTTGAAAACATTTTAATTATGCATGAAACATGTAAAGGTGGGTTGCAGTGTCTGTCACAGACATATTGAACATAAAAAGCTGTGTTACTTATCAAGATGTAAACTGCTTACACTTTAAAGAAATGCTTGGGGTTTTTCAAGCACATACATTTTGAAGAACACAATAACTCTAAATAACATAATGCACCTCTTTTCCACGAGCTGTGTGCCGTGAATGCCACATTTTGATCTAAGAGAGGAAGTGCTTCATTCTAGGCTCAAGGCTTTTGCTTCTGGGTGAACACTAAGATGATTTAAGGATCTTTGCTCAGCATTAAAGGGGTCATGAACTGCATTGTTTTAATCATTTTTCCTGGTGCATTTACTATGATTTTTACATTTTTACAGGCAAATTTTTTCTATACTGATTTTATCCTCTGATTTGAATGCTATGTGAGACTTCAGTGTAAACGCCCACTCCTGTGATTGGCTGATATCTTTGCAAATGAAATAATTATTACAAGCGGAACCCTCTCAAACTTTTAGCATGCTTTTACTATTACAGCTCTCAAGGTTAACTAATTGAGTAAAGAGTTGATTAATGTGATTTAAGTCTTGACGTGTTGATCTATGACAATTTTGGTGGATGAAAGGTTACAGTGAACATTGCAGCTGATCACAGACATGTCAGCATGAATGTGATCTTGTTGTCGTTGAACTCGATTTCTGCACACTAACGACTGCTTTCATCATTCAAAACTAACAGTGGAAACACAATGTAAATAAGATGTTCGTTGATCGCGGCGTATGTCGAATTGAATCACAGTTTAAATAACAGATTATTTTCATTTTACTAAGAGAAACAATGTGAAGACCATTCACATTAGACCGTCAAGTCACTCACTGGTTTGATTTACTGGCACATAAACAAAAATCATCTGACTGTACATGAATCATTACATATCAGAAATCACTGGTCACAGATCAGGCATTAGAAGTAACAGTTACTTACTTACATGTTGTGGCATTACTGCCAACTCTATCGTAAAAGTCTGTTTACAAAGTCAAAATCTGTCAAAATTGCGACTGTTTTACCGCATAAAAATAACTAATGCTCAACGGAGACATTCACATTGTTGAAAATAATTAAAATACAGTTTTCACATTCCTAGTATTAGGATCTTTTGGAAGTTAATGTTATTTCTGGTCCATCTTGTATAGCTCTCCTCTCGTCATCTCAAAAGTTGCGACGATGAATGCGTTGATTTTCTTCTGCAAAGGTGGTCTTTCAATGACTATCTTAAAGAGGCACATTCCAGGACGAGTCGTTCGCTGGGCTTGGTAACAAGAAAAAGTGTTGTTGTTGTTTTTTTTGCACTAACAAGGAAGTTTTCAGATAATACAATTATTTAGCACTTGTATGTAAAAAGCTCAAGGAAAATTTGATTTCTCAGTTCATGGCCCCTTTTATTTAACAAACCACTTGACGTTTACTGAATGTTGATAAACTTCTTGTGTTCCTGAACAACCTCTGCGGCAGGCGGCGCAAACAAATAAATTACACCGGGAAGAAATGCGCTCAGCTGGGGCAAGATGATGTTGTTTATGCACTGCTCTTTCTGCAGCGATTGTGACTATGCACCTCGCTTTCTCCTCTTCTGTAAATCAGTCCAGCAACTGGTCTCAGTTAGAAAACACGAACAGAACTCATTTATGAATACAAATATGATTTTTGATTTGTTGGCAAGGGGTTGTATAAGTCCAGTTTCAAATAAGTATACGGACCACACAAGTGAGTATGCCAGCTATTATAGCGTGAAGCGGCAGCAGTTTATTCTGTTTGCAGTACAGGCTTGAAAGGCTGGATTTTCTCACATTCTCCTCCACCAATCATTGTATTACTTTGGAGATCTAATAACAGACTCCTATATTTTGGCAATATATCAGTGATTAGCTTATTTATATTTTGACATTCTGCCTGTGTCTCTTTTAAAAGCATTTAGTTTAGATGCAGTACATCTATCTCATCTTTTTTCAAGTAAAACTGAAAGGTGCAGTGCATCAACAAATATTACACTCTGAACTGATCGTTCTCTTATTTGCCGGGACAGTAATTCACCAGACGTCTACAACAGCTGTAACATAAAATTTCTGCACATTTAATAGAAAAATGGAACCAGTGCCATACAGTACTTAATGCTTGCCAATGTTTCATTTTTAGATATTACACGGATAATTGCTTTAATGGGGCAGTAAGCGATTTCTGTGAAACTGTTTGAAAACAACCCAAACAAACACACCCCTCCTTTTCTCCACCCCCAAAAATGAATGAACTTGCGCAAAAATCGCATGCCTTTTTATCGTAGCTGTATTTAAGCAAAATAATTCTTCTCGAAAAATAAAGTGAAGATGATGAACGAACGATAAAGAGCAGTAAGAAATGAACATATAGTACATGATGAGTATATTCAAGCAAGAGTTCTTTGTTAGGCACCTTCAATACAGCAACTCACAATGAGTACATTTACTCACACTTTCTTATCCTGATTATGCTTAATAAGCAAACAAAGCATGCACATGATAATGTAAATGCGTTAACTTGTTTTTAATTGACTTTATGCGTAAACCAATCACCCCTATGCTGATTTCGCCCAGCATAGATGCATCAACCTGCTTTATTGAAGCGTGCATGTGTGACAGGAAAGCGTCCTTACTGTGAATTTAAGCATCTCCAGACAGAGCGAGTGTTTTGCAGTAAGGGTGGAGGAAATGTATTGCAAACTCACTCTTTCTAAAAAATTGTGCTCATCACGTGCAGCAGAAGAAGTGGTACAGTCAAAATTCTGCATCTGTAACTGCATGAGAGGATAAAATATAAGTTATAAGTTTACCTGATTTTACCTGCTGACATTTTGGAATACTCTTCTTCGGTATTTAATGCTTTATTTGCAACGCATTCTCACCCCAAGGCGTCACCTTTGACCATGGTTCAATATTTGACGTTTTAGGCGCCCTTTAGCGTCACTTACATGACGCGATCCTACGGCGTCATCTAACTGACGGTAAAGGAAAGCGTCAGTTAGAGGACGCGGTTAGGTTTAGGTGTGGGGTGGGGGTAGGGTACACGCGGTCATAGGGCGTCATCTAACTGACGCTAAAGGGCGCCTAAAGCGTCAGATATTGAAGCATGTCCAAATGCTTCCCAAGGCGTCAGTTAAGTGACGCCTTGGGGGTGAGAATGGGCTGTTATTTAACATTACAATTCACAACTGACATTACATAAATGATCATTTCGAAATACTGAGCAAATCAATTAAACTTTGAATTCACTACCGGGAAATAACCTGATTTAGTCTTAACCCATTTTACTTGCAATTTTGGGTTATTGGTTTGCATGTAAACCCAAACAACAAATTTCAATAATTTCAATAATTTTTGTGAGTTATCAGTGTACTGGTGTGTATGTAAACATGCTCAATGACACTCAATACGGTCCTCCTGTTACTATACAACAACAACATCTTGGTTCTGTGAAACATAGCAAAATCTGTGTTTCGCATATATAAAGCAGAAACAAGGCAACTGTACGTATAGCTATATAATTACACGTTTTTTTTTTCTTTTACTATTTTTATTAGCCTTTTCTGATTGAGCGAAGACTAATGAACCGGTTTACAGTTATTTGAGTCCAACATCTACTCTGGGAAAGTTGCCAGTATAACTGCATGCATTATTTACTTTCTCTCTCAGTATAGGTAAAAATGGTGTTGAAT